AAATGCATTTTCAAAATAAAGTAAGACCATTTTCTTATAACTAAGACGGATAGAATACCAACAAAACGATGACTTATTACTACCTACACGATCTGTCACCATAAATGGTAAGATGGAACAAATGGAAATATACAATGGATAATAACCAAAGAAGTAAATAAAATATAACAAAAATATCATTTAATAAATATGGCGGAATCAATTTCAATTTTCACTGCGGATGTCTATGACGCGATGTTAGTGCTTGTGCAAAATCAATACGTGACCTAACAGCTAGCGTCCAGGCTTCTGAGCTGTTGCCATGGCAACGCAGCATCCGTGAGATAGAAGCATCTCATGTCTCTGTCACACGCGAGACCTAGCCACGCCCGGGAGACCTAAGCTAGGGCCGGCTACACTGACGATCGTTAAATAATAAGCTTATTCATAAAATACTAGTCAAAACTTTCATTATATAAGAAATAAATGATGATTTAAGTGTGTTTTAAACTAGGGGATTAAAAATAAACTCGATTTTTTTTATGTTTTTAGAAATAAATACTAAAATTCAACACGAATTTTCTCGATTAAAATCTCCAAGCAAAGTTACTGATCTTTTAATGTTTAAAGAAACATTTTGGTGGGTACACCTTACAGGACTGTAAAAAATCCTTTTAATCAATGACATCAATATTTAATAGTAGGTACGTACATTCAACATCTTTTATTAATTTCCCAAAATAATGTACACTAATAGATCGTTCATTACTAAATGTCAGTATCTGTCACTGATCGACCTTCATGTGCATAAATTTAAAATATATTTGTATTGATATCTCCAACTATCTCTTATCTAGTCAAACTTATAATATACCTAGAAAACATATATAAAACATATTTATTTAATTTTTTATACGACTTACAACGTAATAGTTAAATAATCAATAATAATTGCAGTAGATACAAACGTATTTCAATATAGTCGTATGTGTATGTAACTGAGTACAGCGCCATCTATATATAATAAATAGTAAACTAAGTTAAACCGTCATTTAATAGTTCGTGTTCCCGGTCCATCCAGACCGAACTATTGATCTCCAGAGACCTAGCGTCGGTCTCATTAAACTAAGTACTTGTACCTAACATAGGCAAATGTACGGCGAAATGTTCAAATGAACTCATTTTATATAGAAATGTGTAAATTCAACCGCTTTAAAGCGCTTTGAAGTGGCTTGTTAAAAATGGTTTCATTATATGTAGAAAGGAAAATTATTACGTAAAACGAAATTGAGTTCGTTTTAAATATAATAAAAAAGTTTCATACTGAATTTATATGCAAAACCTTTTTGTTAAATGTTATACATAATACTCGTTTGTACTTGATTGTTAGCAAAAAATATTTTGCATCGAAATTATTTATTTCATGATGGAAATTTGTATCGACTCTTATTACTACTAATCGTTGTTGGTTATCATAAAACTATTTACATTTATAATACGAGGTTCCATAATAAACAAATTATTGTATTCTCAGTGATAAAATTATCCCATTTAAATCGATCTCAGTAACTCTTAATAAACTTTGATGTTTTTATATTTCGTCCTCGTTATCTGAAACTTTTGCCAAAGTCCTATATTCCTTGCTGCAGCATGTCTATCCAATTTGGCAGTGCAGGCAGACTTGAATAACAAACTAAATTTCAAGTCTTAACAAGTTAGGTAACTGTCACACTGACATCATAATTATTTATATTAAAAATATATAACAGATTATTAATTGATTAATTCTTTGTAATAAATTATATAAATTAAAAGGAAATATTAAAAATATAAGTCTCTTTTTATTTAGTGACATATTACATTCAGTTATAGTTTTTCTTAAATTTTAATATCAACATATAAAAATACATTTAAGGAATTATATCTTCATAATATAATAAATAAAATATAAATGTATAATATATTGATGTGTTCTGTATGAGACTGACGACTTACAATGCAGCGACGTAGTAAAATTTAATAGAACAGCAATGCGGTATTCTCGAGGACCGGGAACAGGCATTTAATATATAATGTATAGGTTCGATCTCATTATGCCAAGAATAAAAAAGTTTTTAATAATCTTAACTATATACAATTATATTATAGATGTAGCTGTACTGTCATAAAGATTTATTTTCTTAAGTTCAAACAATAGCTACAGACGATAATCGGTCGTCGCGAGTACATTTTTTCAGCATCAAACTATATTTCCGATTGTCTTTGTTAAATGGAACGTAGCACCGGAAACAGAGTTATTTAAAACAACAGGATTACATCATACCGTTTTAGTACTTTTATATACATATTAATTCAAACATTTGTTGCTACTAATTATGAAAGATAAGTTTAATTTCATTGTTAATCTGTCAGCTATTATTCCTGGAATTAACCTTGTTTTTGTTTCATTTAATCATCAAAAACATTGTGATTACTATCACTAATCATTTCCGTGCGTGTCCAAAGACAATTTGAATAGAAGGAAAATAGGTTAAAAACAACGAAATGTATCAGAGTCGGAGACATCCATCATGCAACGTTGTACGCCTTTCTTTTCGATCGTTACATAAATCATATCAGACACCGCGTGGTACGCGACCCGACAACTAACACAGATATATTAATAAAATAATACTATAAAATGTCATATTCCATGTCTATGATTATTATAGCTGTCAAAAAATTAAACCATTATATTATTTTATTCAAAATCGATAATAGATTATAAATAATTGTCCTACAGCTTTACGAAAACAAATTATATTTGTTTTATTCTTGTATTCATACTCAATTAGACGTACTTAAATATTTGATAAGGTTTTAAGAGTAAGGCTTGCTCAATAGGCCAGTGCAGATGCCTCTAAAAATGATGAAAAGTGAAAATAAATTATAGTAGAATGAAACCCATTAGAAAAGGAGGGGAATATTATTAAAATTAGTTTTAGCACCTTAATTTCAATAGTCTGTAAATTACCTAAAAAAGGGACTATCTGGAGAACTTCCAGAGTACACAACTATTAAAAGAAATTAGAAAGAGCATTTTCCAAACGATATCGAGTGTCATTTCATTAAAAGGGACTTGATTATTTTATCCAAAATTGGTAGTGCAAGTAAAAAACTTATATTTTTTCCTCCACCATCGGAAAAAAGAGATTTCGACGAACAGAAAACACACCAATTTTTTTAAAAAGCTGATATTTTGACGGGTGATTTTTCGATTGAAAATGAGGATGATATTTCAGTATTTATTGAAAATAAGCTGAAAAAATAAATATTTCTTATCAAATAAATTACAGTGCATTTGGAACATCAAAAGGAAAGTTTTGACCAAAATTTCGTGACAAAAAATTGTTTTTTGTAAGAGATAAAAATAAAAAACCAAAAACTTGGTTTTTCGAATTTATCACATAATTTTTGAGGTTATGTGAAAAAAATGTTAGTACAAAATTTTTAAAATCTTTTTATAACCAACAACTTTGCCATATAACATTTTTCCGTAGGACTTTTAGTTTTGCCGGAAATCGAGAAAACCATTTTTTACCCTTAAATACCCATCCCCATACCCTTCCCGACCTCAGATCGCCGGTAAATTATTTTTCCTTTAAACTTTATAATATTCCCCTCCTTTCTAATGAGTTTCATTCTACTATCATTTAATTATGTTTTAAAAGCTGTCGGCACTGGTCTACAAGACGATACGACTATCAAACTATTCCCTGGAACAGTTTCTATGAGGCAGTGAAGAATTCTCCTATAAAAATAGTGTGTGCCATTTTTGACAACTGGCTACAAAACAACTGCATTGTATTTCGAATAATTTTAAATGTTTGAACATAAATGTAATAAAATAGCATAATGTCATATAATACATGTTGTTTTTCAAAGCATATTTTTCCAAACAGCTCCATTGAATCATATAACGTAACGTTTGTGTCAGATTACATAGAAATTAACCTATTAATATTCAGTGAGCATTTTTACCATGAACATGAATACAAACTGATGTTAAATAAAAGCTTGGACGTGAAAAAGACTGCATTATAAAAAATAGAGATAGTAAACAACTTTTATTTAAAACTTTCAAATTTCAAATATAAGATTGTGATTAAATATAACAATTAAATTTATTACAACGGAGTTTTCTATAACCATTTGCTAATGAATAAATATGTAAGCCTACCTACTATACACCAAACACACTAGATGGCGCTTTTAACAAAAATACAAATTCAGTATATTTTGTTGTATTGCTTTAAAAAAAAACACTTCCTACAAAAATACTTTATGTACGATTCAAAACCTTCATATATTCATAATTCAATATCAATAATAATATCTCTAATAGAATGTGACATAAAACAGATTTACCGATACTCTTTTCCTAGTTAGATTGTTAAAGAAACATAAAAATAAGTTTCATTTACAATTCACATTTTTTTAAGGTGAATGAAGAAACATTTTAAATTTTATTTAAAACAGGTGATAAAAGAATATATACACCACCATCTCAAAGTCGGTGTAGAAACATTTTTTCTTTACATTTGGTTCTAGTGGCTCTTCTCTAAAATAACGTAAGAAAATGCTTAACAGGATTGGAATTTATCTTAAACACTAGAAAATTACTACCGTTACTTTAAAACAAACAAGAATATGTTGATTCTTTCTTAGTACAATTCTTTAACCATCCGATTGAGTTATTTCATTTAACCAACATATGTTTTAAGATCTGTATGAAAAAATCAAAACTGATTTTCTATTTTTATTGTTATTTACAATATTAACTTTTTATTCAATGTAAATGAATATAAATCTTGAGTATAGAAAATACAAGAGTATATCAAATGTTTCACTTGTCCAAGCATTATTCTAGTTTTAAAAAGTGATATTATATATCTATTAAATATATTCTTTGAACTATACAAACATCTAGAGTATTTAATAAAACAAGTACATCATAAAATATATTTTATTGGCAGTTGTGCTTAAGCATCGGCGATGGTCACTTCCACTTCTACACCGGGCTCAATGTTGATGGAGGTGATCTGCTTCACGATCTCCGAGGGTGAGTGGAGGTCGATGACCCTCTTGTGGATCCTCATTTGGAACCTGTCCCAGGTCTTGGAACCTTCACCGCAGGGTGTCTTACGGGTTGTGATGCGGAGCACTTTGGTCGGCATACGCACTGGACCCTGGAATAATAATGTTATGTATTAGTTATGCTTGCTCGGTAATGTTATAATATAATATATCAGGTATAATGTAGGTACATTTTATTATATCAGTTGCTGTCATTCAGTTTGATACTTAGACATACATACATGACTTTAATATAGTTTTATTGAATACTACAATCATAAAACAGTAAGAAATACTGTTGACTGGAAATATATGACACAATTTTCATATAAAGTGGTTGTTTATAAGTTTGTTACTTCCCTATGAGCAGAGTATAGTACGGACATATACTCTGCACTTTGAGAAGTCTTCGTCTAGCACCGATTTAGTGAACACATTGGTATAAAACTCAATGTGCCTTCATCAAGGTGCTACTAGCATAAATAGTTTCTTTATTACAATAATCTTTCAAGCATATATAATACATTGTTGATGCACAACAAATACTTAAGTTGAATAAGTAATCAAAGTTTGATAATGATTTTTAACTATTAAACTTCTTATTATATATGTATACACACTGTCTTCACATATTATACATAGTTAATGGCAAATTTACATGTACAGCATTATTTTATTAACTTGTATATAAAATAGCATTAAGAATCTGGTCATTATATGATATGCATGATGCTAACCATGCACACGTCTGCTGAATCTCATGATAATGCATATTTAGAAAGTATTTATAGGAATAGGAACATTAGACTTATATAGTTACCTTGACGCGAAGCTTTTGCTTCTTGGCGCCATTAATGAGGTCCGAGCAGACCTTCTCGAGCGAGCGCACGTTACGGGAGGTCAAAGTGATACGAATACGATGGATTGGAGACACCTCCGCTTGAGGCTTCTCAATGTCTTTGCCTGACACGACAGCGGCTGCCTACAAAGTATAATTAAATAAATATCACTAGAGAACTAGTCATTATACATGATAAGACATATTTTATACATGTTAAGAAGTAATACATTATCAATATTCAATTATTTTTAAAACATCTTCAACATGAATTCCTGACACGTGCTAACATAACCTAGTTAAGTTTACAAAATACGATTTTCTTAATGTTTTTAATTATTTCACATTGCGTACGTGTTAAATATTGAATACTCACCATATTGATGCGATTTCCCGGTCGAGATAAACAACTTTCCTATTAAAAATTGCTCAGCGCTGAACCGGAGAACAGCGTTACTCAATTGTCACATAGAAAGAGAAATGACAATGTACCTGATAGACTAAAACGTTTAGTTTATGGTTGTACCAAACAGATAATAGATGAACATGTAAAAAGATAATTATTGTCTATGCTCATTTTTTTTTTGTTAAAAATTACTTTGTTGTAAGGAAATCCAAAATGTTTATATTTGCGTTTGATTTTAACGATTTCCAACGCGATTTTCAATATAGCTTATTTCTTAAATAAAAAGGATGTAAATAAAAACGAACTCTGTGGGTATATTTCTTTAATTCAATTTAAAGCTATGCTACAAATAATCAATGTATTGAAATAAACAATTATATTCTTAACCTTAACAAACTTAAAATATATTAATGATAGCACACGTAAATAATAAGTATGAATATCTTTTTCACATAACAAAGATCTTTGATAATTACACGTTATTCATGATCAGGCTCTTGACTTGTTTGTCGAATTTCCTAAAACAAAAATATAAGCATAAACACCAGTAAGTCAACCAAAATATAATGACCTTAAATTACATAGTCTTCAAGATGATTGAAGCAAGAGTATCTATCTATATACTTTTTTGTGAAGTGTAAAGCGAGCAATGATAATATGAACACTATAATGAATGAATGCTATCGTCCATAGTAATATAAACTTACGTTGAAGTTATCTGGTCTCCCGGCAAGTGGAATGGGTTGCAGATAGCGTCAGCATACAACGCGTGGAGCCGTCTCAGGGCTGTACGGACCTCCGCGTCACGAATGTTACTGCCGCTTGGAGACGTGGAGCTCGTCACCAGCACCAACTTGATTCTAGTGTTGGTTACGTAGCCGTAACTGGTAAAAGCACGAAAATTTGGTAAATAAGATGATTTTTTTGTCATTATTACTTTTAAGTATACATATTGATCTAAGGGGTCCTCTTTTAACGAGTACCCCTCGTGAAACCAACCAGGTTTGTTAAAACGAGACATCATCCCTTTTAAAATTGACATAAAAACAAGTTGATTTTCTAAATTGAAGAACATTTTTCTTAAACTTGCCATAAATTCAAGAATTTTAATTATATGTCATGCTGATTGAATACATTGCTTACTACACTCCGTATTAATTTGAATGACAAAATATAATAAAAATAATAATATGGCTGATTACGTATTTTTTTCCGACTTACATTTTATGAGTATCAGTGGAGTAAAGTAATCCTAAATATAGATCTCTTAACTCAGTTCGTGAAGCATTTGCACTAGAGTTTAAATTAGTATTGTTTGTTGAAGCCAGTCGTTCCTCCAAGGCGTCCAGAGCGGTGTGAACCAGCCATTGACGGGACAGTTCATTGTCGGTACTTGTATCATTACCGGTACCACCGATGTACAAGGGAGAATTCTACAAAGAAGTTATTATAGACGATTCAGACATTGATTTTACACACAACACATAATATTATGTATAAATATCCATAAAGCTTTTTTTTCTATATCTTTGATTTTAGTATAACTTCTTAATTGAAACAAAACACATATAAAATAATTAAATAATTGTAATTATCTTCAATTAGATTATTATATTCTATACAAAACACATTTAGAAATATGTCATCGTTGTCTATGATTAATGATTATTATGACAAATGTAATGAGATAGACGTGTAAATTAATAATAACTTGGTGTAGTGTATCGACAGGAGAATAATATTTACTTCTGAATTAATAATTGAAGCGTTAATAGTGTTGTGTATCGGTCTGTATATGTAAGATCAAGTGAATAACAAAAAAACTCACGTCTTTCCCGATAACAGCAACGCAAACAGCCATTGTGTACGAAAAACTAAACGGAAGTGTATTGACATATTATATGTGACTGTCAGGTTGTAGTAAAAGGCGGGATATTTTGAAAATCATACCTGTAGATAAAATCATATATTTATATTCGTAGGGTGTGGAACACCCTGCCATTTATTTATTTACTAAGTGTACATAAATCCGCCAAAATTCTACTCTACTTGTTATACAAGTTGATGATGATGACGGAGAACCAAAATTCACTCGTTTATGAAATAGATGAAAAGGGAGAAAGGGTTTTGGTGAGGTCGATAGAATCGTCCTCTAGAGCTTTTCTGCGGTTTTTCAACAAGACTTCTCGTCCTGTTGATGTCTGGTGGCGAGATTACAACGGGGCGAAGCGACACTACGTACGTTTGGAGCCAGGCGCCAACTATAATATCAATTCGTTTGTGACGCACCCTTGGGAGTTCACAGACGTGTCTACTAAGGAGCGATATGTGATCAACAATAACCCTATCTATCGCCCGCCGAGGAATATCGGAGGTATGATGTACAGAACCAATTGGAACATCACCGTGGGAGTCAGGACTCTTCGCCACACAGTATTACTGGTGCTGGCAACGAATCTTAACGATACTAACGCTGTGAACTCTCTCGGTCTGCCGAGAGTGTTGGCCGAGGAGCTGAAACATCTCATCTCACTCATCCACCGACCTCCGACACCTCCGCAGAGGGATTGACTGAATACTACATTAATATATTTTGTAATGCGTGTAGTAATCTGTATTCTACTCTTTTATTACAGTAACTTTATAGTTAAAACAATCACCTTCTTCTTTAACTGAGGTGTGCATTTATTTTTACTGACTGTGATAATTTTTTAATAATCTTTCTGTTGATTCACTTATAACGGGCATCAGACACAATGTTATACCGCACTCATCTTCGGTGTACTTCCATATAACTTCTTGAACAATTATTTAGTATTGTTTAGTTTTTATATATTTGACCATGTTCAAAGTTATTTATAGTCATATAAAATGTTACTATATATATATTATCCATCAATTTTCCATGCATTCAACATACATTCTGTTTTTCTTATTACTTTAACTAATATTTGTTTTTAACCTTTCATGAGTCATGTTGCTTAAAAAATTATTTAAAAGAAAATGTTTATATGTTATTAATAGTTATAAGTTAATTGTTGTATTTTTGTACAAATTAAAAATTATGAATCTTTACTTTTAACATTGAATCTCAAACATAAATGTATTGAGACTCTCTTTAATGGACTTAATGTAAAAATCAATTAGTTTGTAAACCAAGAATCATTAGTTAATGAACAAAGTCAACATTGAAACGGCAAAGCAAAAATTATTATAATATTGGGTCGATGTTATCAGTAAGTTACAAACGAGGTCATTGAAGTGCTTTGTTAACTTTTAATAAAATCTTTATATTATATATATTAGTATTTTTCTTATTCAAGTTGAAACGATATAACTATCACATTAATTTTATACTTTAGTCTAAGAACAAGTTAGTTTCTTGCATTTAAGACTTTATAAATGTTTTAACAGTTACTTAATGTATTTTTCTATAATCTAAAGTCTAATGTTATGTAATCTACAAACGTGCCATATAATTTTAATGTTTCTAATAAATTTATTGAATTAAAACAATGTTTTTTATTTGATAAAGTTGTTATTTTGAAAGGTATAGACTCAAATTTAATAAGAAATTATTTTATTTGTTTTTGGTAGTAATGTATGCTCTATGTATGAATGCTCAAAGATATGATATAAATTAGATTAATTAATAATTATTATTTTGTATCTTCTTTATGTTCACGTTCTTTGCTAATTTTTATTTACAACACAGTGTGTTGATCATAATAATTAAGCACACTTTATTTGATAATAAAGTCAATTGAAGTGCAAATTATAGCTCAAATTTCTTCCATTTATTGCATTTCAAAAGATCGGAGTAGGGTTGGATTAAAAGAAGCTTTTTTGATATCGTTTCGCGTTGCTATCGTATAGAATTTTTTATCTTACTTTTACGTAGTTGAACTCCGTGTTTGTGTTTAAATCAGTTTTAGATACAAAATAAGCTTTTTAACCATTTTTAATATGAAATTTTGTTATCTGATATAAAACATACTCAATTTGAAATAAATGTCTTATCTACAACTGATTTTCTTCTGCTATTTTCCAATTAGTAAGTGTACATTAAATATATGAATTAAATAGTTATATATATAGTTTATTATTTGTATCAACAATTCGATTCAGTAACTTTATGTCGAAGCTGTACACGCATTTTATCAGGTCTTTTAAATATGATTTACTCTCTTCAAGTTAAAATTCAGTTAGCCATAACTAACAGGAAACCTTTTTGGAATAAACAGTGATGATGAAACATACAATGTTTTGTTTATTAACTGCAATAATGATGCTAAAACTATTTCAATAGAAACTTTCTTAATGACTTGAAATTGACTTATAAGTGAGATACTCTACAATGTCGTAGGACAAAATCGCTGACAAGAGGTAGTGAAAATCTGTTTTAAATATAAAAAAAAGAGGCTGGACGTATAAAAAAATAATTTATTGTAAAAAAAAAATATTAAGTAAGATGATCACATGTTTGATGGGTTTGCGTCGGAGTTAGTTGTCAGATTTGTTTTCTTTGTGTATTTGTGCGACGATGGCCAGCGCGCCGCCGGGAATGAACCTGATGAAGTTGTCTGCTGTGAGCGGTCCTAGGGCGAAGACTCCTTTAGGGCCGTTGAGTAGTTCGTGGGTGCTCCTGTCGATTGCTATAGGGTTAGATCTGCCGTCTACTGGCTTGTTTGGGTCTACTCCATAGCCGATCCCACTACTATAAGGATTAGTCGGCTGACACTGACAGTACGGAGTAATCTGTTTATTAACAACTGAATACTCTTTCCTTTTATTACAGTCGGGTAATGTACATCCGTTATCCGTGTTGCCATTGATTTCTGTGCTAAGATACCTCGACTTGCATATCTGTATGCTCTGTTCTAGAACGGATTTGATGTAATGCCAGTGGTTTTTAAGGAAGCACTGCCTCTGGTTTTGTTTCTTCTCACATTTACAGTCTTGTACTTCGATGTTTTGAGGATTGAAGTCGGTGTGGAGGAAGAATAGGTCTGGTTTGGATCCAATGAGTACTGCGATGAGTGATACTGTGATTTCCACTGTCTGGTTTGTGACTAAGTTGAGGAGTTTGACTTTCTTCGGCTGTAGGCTCTCGTCTTCGGTGTAGTTTTTCAGTTTAAGCGATGGTTCCTCACAGGTGACTGGTGTTATCTCCACAATGGTGTGTTCGGGGAACGGAGTGTAGTTCTCATGGTTGGCAGAAGGTCCATCCAGCATCATTTTGTACACCTGTTGTATATTAATATATAAGTAAACCTAAATACTAATATTTCATAGCATAAGTTAGTAAAAACCATTTTTTTTTTTCATTATAACAAATATATTTTATTATACATACATTGAAATTTTCCCTGAATATATTGAAATTATAGATCATTGATAGTGACTATGTTATGGCTATCACAACTATTCAGATTACAGGTCATTCTGGTATTCAGTCAGCTACCTTTGTTTCTTTGTATATTAATCTATAATCACTGTTTCTTCATAATGTAATATATAACTATAATGTATAACTAAGTAATGTATACTGTATATATAAATGACCTGATAGTAGTCAAGCTAAGTGTTTAATGTTTTACATTACCAATTATTCTGTTATTGATCTCTTTATGTTATGTATTTATATATTCTTTTTTCTTTTCATTATTTTCTTGGTATGTTAAGTGTTATATACTGTATGTATATACCTGGCAGTAGTCAGGATATGTTTGTGGCGGGAGCCTAGCTAGTGAGTCGTTAGGTTGTCTGTGTAGATGCAGGGCTCGCAAACCCGCGGCGCGCACCAGCCGCACGGCGTCCGCGGCGCTCACTCCTGAACCAACCACTAATACCGCCCCGTCTGATGCTGTGGAATATATATTATATTATAAATTATAATATATAATATGAAAAAAAAGAAAAATGTTTATTAAAAAAAAAAACAACATTATACAAAGAAATGTCCGGTGGTGCCCACACTAGGTATTCCTGTGTCGTGGATACCAATTGATAGATTTACAGTACATGTTTAATGTTGTCGCACGGCTTAGAATATAAATTACATAACTATTTAAGATACATTGCATAATTCAAGTTACAAGTGTTCTTATGTTAGTGAAAAGGTGCTATACTAGGTGCAAGAAAATAATATGTATATCAACACATAGAAAACTTAATAGCTAGACTGTAAACTTATAAGTTATAAAACTTTTTAGACAGTGCTGTGAATATCTGTAATAGGTGTACATATGAAGATCTATACTTTTGACTGTATTTTTTGTGTAAATGTTGCATATGTGTACTGTTGGTGTTCCTAAATAAAAATAAAATATAGGGGAGATTTTTCTATACATAGTGTATTGCATTTCTCATCTCTTGCTGTGCATGACTACAACGGAGAAACATGCCCGATTAAGTAACATGAGGAAGACATATCTCTTGATATTCAGATGGTAATGATATTGTCAGATTTATCGTAGGATATCATACCGTGTGTGTTAGGAACAGATTAGAGTTAACAATCCCTACTAATATAATAAATACGAAAGAAAATCTGTCTGTCTGTCTGTTACGCTTTCACGCCTAAACCACTGAACTGATTTTAATGAGATTTGGTACAGACAAAGAGTTGACCTTGATAAAGAACATAGAATAGTTTTTACCCCAGACTTTTGAAAGGTACTCTTGGAAACGCTACACTACTACACTACTACTACACGCGGGCGGAAAGCTAGTTATATCATAAGTCTCAATGATAGATAGCATTTTGAGTTAGTTCATAATCGCTTAGCTGATGTTAGTGTACTACAATAGAGAGTTCAATACAAATTAAACTCTGTCATATAACAATAAAGTCTAATTTTATTTACCAGTATTAGTCATCTGATGAACAGCTCTCTCCACATCTGCCAGTGAGTGTGTGAGCATGTTGTGTTGTGTGTGTGTATGTGTGTTTGTGAGTGTGTGTGTGAGTGGTAGAGTGTTCGGTCTATCTCCTCCACCACAAGCCAGCACCACTCGTCGACACAGGTATCGGAACACGCGACACTCAGACGTTTCGTAACTGAAATTATATACAGGGTTGAAGTTTAATAAATATAGTGTGTATGCTATATTTATTATTATTTATTTTCACATACGGTAAAGGAAAACATCGTGAGGGAACTTGGACTTATAGTTTCATTGTGATTAATACTCAAACCTTCTCCATGTCAGAAGAGGCCTTACAACAGTGAGCTCTGATAGGCTGATGACTAGGGCCCGGATAAATATGAATTAAAAAATCTAAAATATGTACATAAAATCCTTTATTTTTATCCAAAACATTATTGGCGGAAACGTAAATTTTACGTATTTTTAGGAATATATGGATGATTGTGACATTTTCTTGTAATATATGGACTTCACTTTGAAATATGGTAAAATATGGAAAATAAAAGTTGGTTTTTCACAGTCTAAATATGTCAATCCATGTAAAAAACACATTCTAGACCGAAAATCGCGTAAATTAAAAATATGTATTTACTTATTAATCCGGGCCCTACTGATGACGCTTGCTATATTATGGAATTAAGTCTACTGTAAAGTCACCTTTATAAAACATCTCATGTATACATCCAAATATGGTGAACCATCCATTGGGCCGAGCTTTCATTATGTTATGTTAAATCTTCTATTATTATTAAATGTGATTTAAAGCTACAAAGACGTTTTTTATCAAACCCAGTAATTAACCACATCAGATGGTGTTCATTATGTTGATTAGGATTAATATATCTAGGTATTTTGTGCATTGTTAAATTAATTTATTGTTATATTATATTTGGTTGTCAGATAAAGATATTGAGATACAATTTTTTATTTAGAAGTAATGTTGTTAACATTTTCATAGGATATTTTTCGGATGGTAATTAGAACTCTAATATGTAGATCATAAAACAGGATTTTTTTAAGCGACTTTGTATGTAGACTTTGGAATTGACGGAGTTAAGTTGAAAAAATGATTTGAATGGGATATGTATCCCACTCTATGTATAATAGTTGACAGACAGCGCCCTCTATAGTCTGAGTAACGAGACTTAACAAACATACGTCCTAGTAAACTGTATTATTTATATATGGTAGAAGTAAGAAGTTTATTTTACCCTGTGACGAGAAATCTGGCGGCGCGCGGACATGAGGGACAGCAAGGGAGCCCCGGGGGCGCCGGGGACACACCCGTCACCACCACGCCGCTACGGAAGTAACGCTGGAAATATACAGTATGATAGACAGGTTATATACAGGGTGACTGGTGAATTACTATCAATATTTAAGGAGAATACTCGATACATGATTCTCATTCGAATTTTGTAAAAAAAATAGGTACTTAATTTTTGACAAAATTTCCGTATAAATAAATAAAGTGTTGACACGTTCCAAGTGTTCCAAGTTTGGTCGCGTGCGGCGGCGTGCTGATACAACACCACACCGCCGCACGCGTATGTGTGTGTCTGTGTGTATACCTAATCTGTAGGGTGTTCACACGATGCGTAATTAATTACATAACTTTTGGTTAACTTTACTTAGAAGTTTATTAATATTTATGTTATATTAATTTTTATTTTGTCATATATGATCGTCAAATATCACGTCCTCAAGTATCGATAGTAATTCACCAGTCACCCTGTATATTGTACAGGGACGTCAATTTTGGCTTATTGTGTTAATATATATCATGTGTTAATACGGGATTGCACCTAGCACAGGGGCCCTTGCAACTTGTTTGTAAATTAATCCTTAAGTCAATATATGTACATACATAAGTTATTTTTTTCATCATATAGCAATGTCTAGTAGTTCGTGTTACCTGTAACTGCCACTGCTGCACATATCTCCTGCAGTATGCGGCCACGGCGCGCGCGGACACCCGGGCCGCGGCCTGGGGCTTCGCCCCCGCTGTCCCCGGAGGCAGGGTGAGCCAGCCGGCCGGGGAGAGGGTGCGTACACCCTCGGGGAAGGTGTGCCACGCTCCACCCGGTGGACCCTTCCCTAGCACTATGTGGTCTATCTGAAACAATACATATAACATTAGTTATACTAAATTCAAGTGATCATCATCAGCCTATCAGAGCCCACTGCTGAGAGGCTCACATGGAGAAGGTTTGAGCATTAATCACCACGCTTGCTCAAGATTGGTTGGTGATTTCAAACTTATAATTTGTAATTATAGGTCTAGTTTTCATCACGATGTTTTCCTTCACCGTCCGTCAGTTGTGTCTAAATACTCAAAGCGTCGGAAAAATCACTTTGCTACTTACCAGGTTTCGAACCCTTGCCCTCATACATGAGCGGCGGGCCTTTAACCACTAGGCCACCACGACATTCGACACAAAGCATTAGTTACACTAATTTGTCTAAATCAGCATCATCTTTGTCAAAGTCAGTTAATAGTGTTAGTCATTCTAAGTATGTGTTGTCAGTCAAGGTCGTTGTTCATATCAATTTTGGTCCTCGACCTTGACACACACACACACACACACACACACTACTAGCGCCGTTGTGACTCAGCGGAGCAGATATTAAATTTGAATTTAATTAATGTGTCATTATATAATGTGTGATCAGCGCTCGCTTCAAAACTTATATAGAGCTACAAGGCCATAGTGACGTTGACAATCCTCTTAGAATTATTATTATGTTTGAGATTAAGATTTGTTGAGATTTTGTTATTTAAATTCATATTACTGTACCAGATCAGTACCTTCGTGTATTTATGTTTTTGTTTAAATCTTTATCCTTATATATACAGCTGCGTGCAAAAGTATTAGGCACCCCTATTGTTAGTCACTATCTCATTAGATAGCGGTCAAGTGTGTGTTTTATGGTTTAGCTATTGTATTAGCGGCAATTTTTAACCAAATTAAGATAAAAGAAAATATTAATGACATCCAGGTGTGCTCCTAAGCGGTGTTTCTTCGAATTTGCTTTTTTTGCGTTTCGGGTTATAGTGTGCTATCAGTGCTTGCAGTGAACATACACGTCTTCTACGCAACTATTCCTTTCACAATTCTAAAGACTTACATTTAACGTGTTAATCATGCCGAAAAAATCTGAACTTAGTGCTGAACAGCGTCTAAGAATTAAGATTTTACATGAACAAGGCATGTCTCAGGTTAAAATAGCCCGAGAAGTGAAGTGCTCGCGATGTGCAGTTCAATATGCTATAAATCGCTTCAAAGAGACTGGCACCCATGAAAATAGACCAAGAACATGCAGAAGAAAAATTACTACTGAACAAGAAGATCGATTGTTGATTAGGCAGTCTCTACAAAACAGGAAAAAAAGTGCTTTAGAGCTCGCTGCAGCATTATCTGAGGCAAAAGGCAGCTCAGTGAGTGTTTATACTGTGAGAAGAAGACTTCTTAAAGCTGGATTAAAAGGATGTAAAGCAAGGAAGAAGCCGTGGCTGTCAGAACACAATAAGAAAAATCGGTTGGAGTGGGCACTCAAACATAGAGATTGTTCAGTGAAAGATTGGTCCAACATACTGTGGTCAGACGAATCTAACTTTGAGGTATTGTTATTTATTTTATGTACAATATTAAAACACATAAATGATTTTAAAATAATGTACTGCAAGAAAAATAATAACTTTGAAAATAAATGTTTTTTTTTCGTTTGGCATAGGTGTTTGGAACACCCGGTGTTACTTATGTTAGGCGAAGGGTTGGCGAAGAATACAACCCTGAATGTGTGGTTCCCACTGTTAAGCATGGTGGAGGCTCATTAATGATCTGGGGCTGCATGGCTGCCAACGGAGTGGGCGAGATGGTGTTGTGTGAGGGACGAATGACTAGTGTTAAATACACTGAAGTTCTGGAAACAGCACTAGCAACGTCGATAACGCAAATTTTCGGTGATACAAACACCGATGGCCTGAAATTTCAGCAAGACAATGCCACTTGCCACAAGTCCGCGCATACCATGAAGTGGTTTGCTGAAAATCATATTGATCTTTTGGACTGGCCACCACAATCACCAGACCTCAACCCGATTGAGTATATTTGGTCCATTTTAAAGAAAAATATCCGCAGGCACTCGATTAGCAATAAACAAGCTCTATTGGCCGCGTTACAGCAGGAATGGAAAAATATATCAAGAGAAGAATGTTTCAGGCTGGTAGAGTCAATGCCAAAAAGAGTGGCTGCGGTTATTAAGTCAAAAGGTGGCCCTACAAAATATTAATTATTTTCTTAAAATAAACCATTGTAATCATAAATGCAGTTTTATTTACACTCGCTATACTAAAACACCCTAAAACTTGTCTTACTGTAGGGTGCCTAATACTTTTGCCCGTGGCTGTATAATTCTTCTGTGAGTGTGTATGTGACTGAACTTCTTTCAAACGACTGGACCGATTCTGATGAAAGTTTTTGTGTGTGTTCAAGGGGATCTGGGAATGGTTTAGATTCACAATTTTGTCCACTGAACAATGTTTTTGTTTATTTCTTGATTATAGGGCGATACGAAGTTCGCCGGGTCTTCTAGATTATATATAGAATTTAAGACTTGTTTTTCATAAACATATCCTTATGCTACATAAAAGTTTATTGTGACCCTATTTATCTGTCTGTGTGTGTGTGTCAGTATATAGATATGTATGTGTGTGTGTGTGTGTGTGTGTGTGTGTGTGTATATCCCATTACCTCTTTATCCATGTCGTATCTCCAGTCTATGAGTGAGTCCTCCGTCAACCCCAGGTCAGCACACGGTCTCAGCAGGTTGTCCATCTGATCACAACATAAACATATATTAGAACATACTTATATGTTAATATATATTATATATAAATAATATATAATGTGTTTTTTAATATGAGGTGAATATCTCATCTCTATACATGTATTAATGACTAATGGTATTTCTAATCACTCATCGGGAAGTTTTTTTTCAATTGATTTATTTAGAACTTACGTTTGTATATACATATACATATTTTTTATTATTTACAGTTTAAATACTAATGTTAAAACTTTTAAGTATATTACATATTTAAAACATTTAATAGATACCAATGTATCGAATTTAAATGATTATTAAGAGAAAATTAATGTGTCTATAGTGGAGACTAGTTTTGTGGAACAAAGTATTGATGGCCAACAATAATGAAGACGGACAGATGAGATGAGATCTCTGTTATCAGTACTAGGAGCTGCTTATCAGTTACACACAGGGTTAATGAGCTTTTTAAGATATGATAACTGTGGGTCAGTGAACTTGATTACATTCAGATGATCTAAATACATTGATCAATAAGGCTTATGATTATTTACATTGATGTAACATTTTATATCAGTTTTTTTAGCATAATATGTTTAATTAATAATAATGAACAGGAAACATAACATATATTTATAATTCAATATAATATATGTTTCCTTAATAAGAACAGGGATATATATCATAGGAGTAACAAGCATCGTATTCAATAATAATATATATGTACATATATTATCTTGTAGCATTCCATAAAATTATATTAAAGTCATTTATGTATGTCTAAGTATCAAACTGAATGACAGCAACTAATATAATAAAGAAATCTACCTATATTATACTTGACATATTATAATAACAATACCGAGCTAGCATAACTAATATATAACATCCTACTAATATTATAATTGCGAAAGTTTGTGAGTGTGCGTGTATATTTGTTACTTCTTCACGCTCAAACGGCTGAACCGATTTTGATAAAGTTTTGTATACAGGAAGCTGACGTCCAGGAATAACACATAGGTTGCTTTACATCCCGGAAATCCGCGGGTAACACCGCGGGGCGCAGCTAGTATGGTATGATAATATTATGATATGTTAATTTATGTTTAGTTACCAGTAATGGTATAGGGTTCTGACTGCGTCCCTCAAGACCCTCGGCTAAGGACAGCAGGTCCGTCTCGAGCAGACTCACACCTTGAGGAAGATTCTGTAGCCTGGAAATGAGAATACATAGCGCAGATCAAGTATTTGTATAGCAAAAAGGTTATATATGTTTGAATATTTGTAATTTGTTGATATACAAGTAATAATATATGTATTCAATAAAACTATGTTTTTGTGGTAAGTAACAAGAGTGAATTACAGAACATAATATATTAAAGTGATCTACCTACTGTACTTGAAAGCATACTATTTAACAGTATTGAGTAAGTATATATAGAATATATAATATGAATTATCATTGTATTGAACTAGTTGATGTGTGTGTATGTACATATGTATGTAGGTATGTGTAGGCATGTCTGTGTGTGTGTGTGTGTCTGTGTGTGTATGTACCTTGCTTTCAGCATGTCATCGATGGGCAGGTCGTCTGGAATGTGTTTGAGGTAGGGCACATTCCCAGCTAACATGAAGGATGTCACCATACCGCTGGGGCCATTACCTGTAACATACAATGAAAATTGTTATACTATTATATTTAAAGAGAATTTACATATTTGACTTTAAGACGGTGCGTGTGTCGGGTCCATCGTTGTAGTGAGAGGAGCTTCAACAGTGACTGGGACTTGTGACCCAGGTGTAGGTTTAATATATATAGAGAGACGAAACCTCTCATCATTCAATGTATTCACGGTGCGTGTGTCGGGTCCATCGTTGTAGTGAGAGGAGCTTCAACAGTGACTGGGACTTGTGACCCAGGTGTAGGTTTAATATATATAGAGAGACGAAACCTCTCATCATTCAATGTATTCACGGTGCGTGTGTCGGGTCCATCGTTGTAGTGAGAGGAGCTTCAACAGTGACTGGGACTTGTGACCCAGGTGTAGGTTTAATATATATAGAGAGACGAAACCTCTCATCATTCAATGTATTCACGGTGCGTGTGTCGGGTCCATCGTTGTAGTGAGAGGAGCTTCAACAGTGACTGGGACTTGTGACCCAGGTGTAGGTTTAATATATATAGAGAGACGAAACCTCTCATCATTCAATATATTCACGGTGCGTGTGTCGGGTCCATCGTTGTAGTGAGAGGAGCTTCAACAGTGACTGGGACTTGTGACCCAGGTATAGGTTTAATATATATAGAGAGACGAAACCTCTCATCATTCAATATATTCACGGTGCGTGTGTCGGGTCCATCGTTGTAGTGAGAGGAGCTTCAACAGTGACTGGGACTTGTGACCCAGGTATAGGTTTAATATATATAGAGAGACGAAACCTCTCATCATTCAATATATTCACGGTGCGTGTGTCGGGTCCATCGTTGTAGTGAGAGGAACTTCAACAGTGACTGGGACTTGTGACCCAGGTATAGGTTTAATATATATAGAGAGACGAAACCTCTCATCATTCAATATATTCACGGTGCGTGTGTCGGGTCCATCGTTGTAGTGAGAGGAGCTTCAACAGTGACTGGGACTTGTGACCCAGGTGTAGGTTTAATATATATAGAGAGACGAAACCTCTCATCATTCAATATATTCACGGTGCGTGTGTCGGGTCCATCGTTGTAGTGAGAGGAGCTTCAACAGTGACTGGGACTTGTGACCCAGGTGTAGGTTTAATATATATAGAGAGACGAAACCTCTCATCATTCAATATATTCACGGTGCGTGTGTCGGGTCCATCGTTGTAGTGAGAGGAGCTTCAACAGTGACTGGGACTTGTGACCCAGGTGTAGGTTTAATATATATAGAGAGACGAAACCTCTCATCATTCAATATATTCACGGTGCGTGTGTCGGGTCCATCGTTGTAGTGAGAGGAGCTTCAACAGTGACTGGGACTTGTGACCCAGGTGTAGGTTTAATATATATAGAGAGACGAAACCTCTCATCATTCAATGTATTCACGGTGCGTGTGTCGGGTCCATCGTTGTAGTGAGAGGAGCTTCAACAGTGACTGGGACTTGTGACCCAGGTGTAGGTTTAATATATATAGAGAGACGAAACCTCTCATCATTCAATGTATTCACGGTGCGTGTGTCGGGTCCATCGTTGTAGTGAGAGGAGCTTCAACAGTGACTGGGACTTGTGACCCAGGTGTAGGTTTAATATATATAGAGAGACGAAACCTCTCATCATTCAATGTATTCACGGTGCGTGTGTCGGGTCCATCGTTGTAGTGAGAGGAGCTTCAACAGTGACTGGGACTTGTGACCCAGGTGTAGGTTTAATATATATAGAGAGACGAAACCTCTCATCATTCAATGTATTCACGGTGCGTGTGTCGGGTCCATCGTTGTAGTGAGAGGAGCTTCAACAGTGACTGGGACTTGTGACCCAGGTGTAGGTTTAATATATATAGAGAGACGAAACCTCTCATCATTCAATGTATTCACGGTGCGTGTGTCGGGTCCATCGTTGTAGTGAGAGGAGCTTCAACAGTGACTGGGACTTGTGACCCAGGTGTAGGTTTAATATATATAGAGAGACGAAACCTCTCATCATTCAATGTATTCACGGTGCGTGTGTCGGGTCCATCGTTGTAGTGAGAGGAGCTTCAACAGTGACTGGGACTTGTGACCCAGGTGTAGGTTTAATATATATAGAGAGACGAAACCTCTCATCATTCAATGTATTCACGGTGCGTGTGTCGGGTCCATCGTTGTAGTGAGAGGAGCTTCAACAGTGACTGGGACTTGTGACCCAGGTGTAGGTTTAATATATATAGAGAGACGAAACCTCTCATCATTCAATGTATTCACGGTGCGTGTGTCGGGTCCATCGTTGTAGTGAGAGGAGCTTCAACAGTGACTGGGACTTGTGACCCAGGTGTAGGTTTAAGGGACCACATCTAACGCGCGTTAAACGCTCACCTCCACCGTCCAAGCTCCTCTCCCTACCTAACCGAAATTTAAAAAAACTTACTAGGGCTGCCTTCGATGTACGTTCCAAGAATGAATTAATGTTAGTTCTGGACAAGCCCAAGTCTTTTAGTAGGTTGTAGAGAGATTTAGTTGTTATACCTCTCGCTCCCACCTCTACCGCTATAAATCTACTACGAACCTATTTCGAGTGAGTTCCTTTCTGAGCTCGTAATATTTGTTGACCTTGTTGGCATGGTCTTTGGGGATGTTGGTTTCCCAAGGAACCGTAAGCTCTATCATCACAACTTTAAAATTCGCGAATATATAAATATATCTGGTCTGGAGGAAAACACAAATATCCTCGAGGATTTTGTATTGATATGTATACTGGATAGACGGTTACATTGAAGCTTTGATTTAATATATAATAAATAATAATATAGATTATTATACATATTTAATATTACTTATGAGTCAAGTTTTCTTCATTATGTACATACATATAAATAATTATTTTTTTTTTACATGTGAATAGACAGTTAAAGTGATTGAAAAACTAACATATAATTTTAACGATAATTACATTCTATTGATGAATGTTTAGAACAATCTATTCTATGACTATCTCTAGAATAATCTTAACATTAGTTATCATCGTCACTACACACATAGCGTTAATAGTTCATCCCTACTAATATTATAAATGTGAAAGTAACTCTGTCTGTCTGTTACGCTTTCACGCCTAAACCACTGAACTGATTTTAATGACATTTGGTACAGACATAGAGTTGACCTTGAGAAAGAACATAGGATAGTTTTTATCCCAGACTTTTGAAAGGTTGTCTTGGAAACGCGATATAACTGAACTCCACGCGGGCGAAGCTGCGGGCGGAAAGCTAGTCATTAATAATCACATAGTATTAATTTATTGAATGAGAAACGTTAAAACGATACGTGTGTAGTGACGATACAAACTTGTACTAAGAGTATATATAATGATAATTAATAGATATAGAAGTTTATATAGGGTTGTATAGAAAAGATTACCAACTTGTTCTGAGACTATTGATATTTTAATGTTATTTAATTATTATTTACAAATCAACACTAGCTGTATTTGAACCTGCAACCTTCTGTATGTAACGTTCCAGTAATTTTAAACATGAACCTATCGTGGCACGACTCATTAAATAATGTTTCATTGTATATTGTCAATATCAATTTTTGTTAGAATTATTGTAATATTAATATTTATTTTTTTATATATTTGTGACTATTATTTCTAGTGATAATATTATTATCATACGTCTGCGATTAAAAGATTGATTATGTGTCATTTTTATTTATATGTATATATTAGAAATAGATATAAAAAATCTGCATTAAATAATATTATTCTAACTTATTAAATATATATTTTATTACATATAAATATATATTAAATATGATGATGGGCAATATTAATTACGTAATCATTAATTGAAGCCAGTCATTGTATGTATGTTTTATATATGTTAAATTATTCATTGATATGTCAGTTTGATTAAAATTCTTCACATGTATACAACACTTTATAGAGTTAGTCGTTTATAATCTGTGGACAGGTTTAAATATGACATTTAATAAAGAATGACAGATAGCATAATTTTATATAATTTCAAATAATTAATAAAGTCAATTTATATCTAATCAAATTTAGTGTTCTATATCTTGTAAATAAGGCGTGTAATATATTTATATGCGTAATTTGTAATATATATAAAGGTATACACATCATTAATATTTATAACTACATGACCTCGGCCGTACTGATTGTATCAATAATTTTTTCTATACATTTTGTCTCGAAACTCCAAACCGGACCTCATTTCGTGGAACACTGGCTGTATGCGGAAAACCTTCGGCTTATTGAATAATTAATAAAAAATATATTTGTGTAATACTTACCTATAACGACTACTTCTTTATAAACTATATCGTCGGACAGAGTGTGCTGGCACGGCTTCATGTCTCTCATGGCACTGTGTATGTGTCGTTTGATTTTCAACTCTATCGCACTATACACTAGCTTCTATTTCCAGTGCACGATCACACTGATGCGTCCCTATACGTTCTATTTTCAAATTTGTAATCCTTAATTTATCTATTCTACTTTTCTATGAGTGCTAGTGTTCTATTTTTGAATGTTCAATAGAACAGTTCTAATTTTGTTTTGTTTTTGTTTTGTCTAAATTGAAAGTGAATTTTAAATTCTGTTAAATGCTGCTAGTCTATCACAGGCAGTTTAAAGTCTTGCGGACTGTGTTAAAGCTTGGCGTCGATCAATACGGCTTGATTGAACGAGTTGTCAGGATCTAGAAAGAAATAAAACAAAATCAATTAAAAGTTTTATATATAACCTCCATGGTACGTGACACTGGCTGAATACAGTGCACGTTTTCGCATGGATGAATGACGTACAAAAAAAAAGAATTGCTTTAAACACATTTTTTGTTTATGAATGTTTATAGTGATCTGAGAAATAAATTATATTATTTCGATAACATCTTGGATATGATACTAAATGTTTACTTAATAAATGTACGGTTTAGTTTATTTTTATCATTGTTATGCAATATTTTATAAATAGTGTATTGTCTGACGATCTTTTATATCGTTTGTGGTTCAAATGTTATCTGTCAATGGGAACCGCAATCACAATAAAATGATAATAAAGTTACATAAAAATAAAATCATATAAGAATATGGTCTTTATTAATTTCTGATCATAGTCTGCTTGTTTAGCATTCCCAGATCATGTATCAATTGAAACTAATTTATAATGAGGTTAATAGCCTTAGTCTCTGTGATGTTATAAATATAGTCTAGACTACACAGTCTAGACCAGTGATTCCCAAAGTGGTCCAGGTGGACCCCCAGGGGTCCACGGGAGACTTGCTGGGGGTCTACGTAGGCGTGAACAAAAAATGGGGATCCACGAAAATTTATCTGCTTTTGATAGTAAAGAGCAAAAATGTAAGCATAGTTTTTATAAGGGCCTACCTACATTGTTTTAAGTACCTAACTAAGCAGATAATATTTTATTAAGGCAAGCGACTGTTACTTGTCCAAACTTGCGTATTCGATATGTACAATTTCGTGTACAGACTTGCAAAGCGCTATCCGCTCGACAATGCTTCTACCTTCTTGGTTCCAATTATTGACTACGGTGACTCCTGTTACTTAGACCTGTCGGAAGAACACCTCCAAAAACTTAATCGTCTTCTAAACAGCGGCATTCGCTTCATCTTTAAGTTCGACCAAGTTCGAGTGCAAGTTCGACCACGTTTCTCGTTTTAGGAAGCAGTTACACTGGCTTCCTATACGGGAACGTAGGTATACTAGGATTCTATGTCTTCTCTACTCTAGTCTTACCGACCCTAATGCTCCCACCTATCTATCCTCTAAATTTTCTCTTCTCTCCTCTACTCACGATAAGCCCCTACGATCCTCTCAATCCCTTACCCTTTTCATACCTCCCCATAAATCTGGCTTTGTTTCCAACTCTTTCTCTTTAGTCGCAGCCCGGCTTTGGAACACTTTGCCTGACTCTATTCGTAGAGCCCCTTCGCGCGATTCTTTCAAGCGTCAAGTGAAAGAATTTTATCTGTCGTCTGTCAACACTATGTGATGTCTTTTCTTCTGTACTATTGTCATTATTGGATTCATATATATATATGTATATATTTGTGTATATATGTTAAATATTTATGTACTTGTATATGTATTTGTTTGTGCATATTTATGTATATTATGTATATGTATATGTATGTATTTTATATCATGTATATATTTTTAATGTTTCCTTAACTTCTGTGCACACCCTACATACTTCTATCCTATACTATTCTGGGTTGGCTGGCAGAAAATGCTGTAATAGCGTTAAGTCCGCCCTTTGTACACCTCTGTTTGTGCAATAAAGAATAATAAAAAAAAAAAAATGCTTAATGCTTGTTCAGACATGAACTTGATAACCACTATAAATACTTGATGCCAAAGGCATTTCATTCATTTGTTTCCAAAATTTCTAAAATTTTATTTTACCTATCGGAATATAGAGACAGAACTCAGAAGTGACACAATTTTAATTTTTTGGCGACTTTAAGAATGTGGTAGAAATGTAGCAGCAGGGGGTCCACCGAAACCAGTAAAATTTTGAAAGTGGTCCACGAGAAAAATAAGTTTGGGGACTACTGGTCTAGACTTATGAGCGATACTAGGTATATCCGAGTCTCCGTATAGCGAATTTCTGTACTATTTTTTATCATGAACTATTTTTGATAAAGATAATGTTTTTAACATAAAAATAAGTGTTTTTTAAAAACAATCTTATTTTTTGTAAAAACTCACGACATTTCGGCAACATCTCGTCTGCCCGTGATCACGGTTGCTGAAAAGTAACCGAAACGTCGGAAGAAACTAGTTTAACAAAAATAAAGTCGCGTAGTATATCCGAAGAATATTAAATTCATTTAAATGAATATAACTCGTAAAAATCTTAGTTCTATTTGAGTATATTTTATTTTAAGTGAAAGTATTGCGCGTGTTGTTACAATGTTTTTGAGTCCATACAAGTGTGATCACGTGGATTCGTCCGCGATGCACGTGACTTTATGTAGGTGGGACATTAAAATAATGTTTTCATCTTTTAAAAGTTAAATGAAGCAAATAGATAAAAAATTGTTGTAAAAACTACATACAGCCGACGTTTCGGTTACTTTTCAACAACCGTGATGACAAAAATTTTGTTTTATAATGCTTGATTATTTTAGGTTTTAGTGTCAATATATTAATTACTAGCTTTCCGCCCGCAGCTTCGCCCGCGTGGAGTTCGGTTATATCGCGTTTCCAAGAGAACCTTTCAAATATGGGATAAAAACTATCCTATGTTCTTTCTCAAGGTCAACTCTATATCGCGTGAAAGCGTAACAGACAGACAGACAGGCAGAGTTATTTTAGCATTTATAATATTAGTAGGGATTTCTGTTTTTCATTCAATAATTTGAATTAATATAATATATTTGATTGAAACGATTATTATAATTATGTTTTATATATAGATGCTTATATTTTGTCAAGACGGATTATTTTAAATCATTTTCGTAGTTTGTTTAAAGCACGTGAGGTACATCAATCAGATGACCTAGTTCTGTCATACACTAAATATTTAACTGGGATAAGTCAGTGGCCTAGTGGTTAAAAGTCCCGCCTCTCATGCATGAGGGCGCGGGTTCGATTCTGACAACAACCAATGTGATTTTTCCGAGTCATACGTACTTTCTAAGAGTATTTAGACATCACTGGTTAATGCATTCCCAAAGAGGATTGATGTCAGGCAGGCGGATCGTAAAAACAATTAGACAAAACTATTCACAGCATGTAAGGCAGACCCTGACTAAAGCTGGGAAATTGCCAGGCAGAAGAAGATAATATTAAGACATTTGTTTCAAATACCTTTAATATTTCATATTAATGTATTTTTTTTAGTGTAGATGACTTTGAATTATTACAAGGTCAGTCATTATATATATGTATATATAATGAGTGTTCTTTTCACACTGGTCGTAAATCTTTATCCAATAATTTAACGGTGTATTATTTTACTATGTGTCATGATTTAAATATTTTATATACATATACAATTTGATCAATAACAATAGCGGTGAGAGAAAATATATTATTTAGATATCCCTACTAATATTATAAATGCGAAAGTAACTCTGTCTGTCTGTCTGTTACGCTTGCACGCCTAAACCACTGAACTGATTTTAATGTAATTTGGTACAGAGATAGAGTTTACCTTGAGAATGAATATAGGATAGTTTTTATTCCAGAATTTTGAAAGGTTCTCTTGGAAACGCGATATAACCGAAAACCACGAGAGTGAAGCTGCGGGTGGAAAGCTAGTATGAAATAAATATGTATAAGTTTAGGTTAATGCAGAGCCCGTGATCTCATTTAAGTACAGCTTGGTGGGTAATCAAAATCTCATTCAATATGTAAAACATATTATAAACGTGTTATATAAACAGCGATAAATTAAGTGTTTTATTATTCCATGTTTTGTTTTATTTTAAACATTATCTAATATATTTGGAGGTAGTTAAAGATAATTCGGTCCTGACTCGCTTCCGCAGTCTCAAGGTGAAGGGCTGGTAATAGGTTAGGATATATTTAGGACGGACGGACAAACAACAGAGACTTTACATTATATATATATACTTTTATATAGTTTTGTTATTGGTGACATTGATTTTATAATTTTATATACAGGGTGACTGGTGAATTACTATCAATATTTAAGGAGAATACTCGGTACATGATTCTCATTCGAATTATGTAAAAAAAATAGGCACTTAATTTTTGACAAAATTTCAATATAAATAAGTAAAGTGTTGACACGTTCCAAGTGTTCAAGTGTGGACGCGTGCGGCGGCGTGCTGATACAACACTACGTCACGACACGCGTATGTGTGAGTGTCAGTGTATACCTAATCTGTAGGGTGTTCACACGATGCGTAATTAATTACATAACTTTTGGTTAACTTTACTTAGAAGTTTATTAATATTTATGTTATATTAATTTTTATTTCGTCATATATGATCGTCAAATATCACGTCCTCAAATATCGATAGTAATTCACCAGTCACCCTGTATATTAATACTTGTTTAAGTCAGGAATATAGTGAAATCTAATACTAAAAAGTATTCATTTAAATTAAACTAATGTTATTTGTATTACTACGCGTATTTTAGATAGTTATTTCGCAGCAACCGTGATTACGGACAGACGGAACGTCGAGAGTATGTAGTTTTTATAATAATAAAATACGCGTAGTAATATAAATAATATTAGTTTCAATTAAATGTGTTTGAATAGTGAGTTGCATTAAGAATTAATATAGACTGGTCGTGACTTGTGTTGCAGGTTGTATATCATCTGTACAGACAGATACTGACCACTTGTTTTCTTCTTC